GCGTAATCAAGTCGAGAAGAATGATTCTTGCAATGATCTTGAATATGACTACTATTAAAACACGATAAAATATAAATCAACGTCGTTTCATTTATTACAATCCTAAATTCCTAAATTTCCTCAACTAAGATGATTCCACGGTTTTTTAAAAGTTTCATTTAAGAAGGGGAAGGAAGAAGGAAAGAAAGGGAAGGAAATTGCTGATACGTTGTCCAAGAATTTGTATCTAAGAAAAATTTGATTTGATACGCGAGATTCTAATATTTAAAGCTTTGATATCATTTATATATAATTTAAAGAATCTAATAAATAATTTTTAATATTTAAAAATGTAAGAAATGAATTTTAACGCAAATTTTAACGTAAATTTTGTTAATTTTTAATCATTAACTTGGACAACGACGCAATAAAGTTAATAGGTATAGGCATTTTTAAAACGCATAAATTTGTAAAGGATAGACAAGGAAAATAAATGAAGGAGAAGGATAGAGATATGGAAGAAATGATAAAATCAGCGCCATCTCCAGAGTGCCGCAAATGAAACACGTAAAGAAAGGATAAAAAACGATAGGAAAAGGATAAAGAGAGTGAAAACCTGACTCTTAGCGCCATCTCTTGATTATTTTTAGAAAGATGTTTTTAGCATTCGCAAGATGATTCTACGAATTATTAAGAAACAATTTTTTCCTCGCAATGTGCTGTGTTTACATATAGAAGACCACAACAGCTTATATCTGAGTCACGAAATTCGACGCAAATATAAGAATATAAACAAATGAAAATAAAAAATTTTGAAATTATTATATACGAAATATAATACGTTGTGAATGAAATACGAAATAAAAATGTATTTCGTATATCAAACTAGTAATAAACTAATAATAAAATAAGTAACAAATAAATATCAATATACACGAATATCGAAATATTCGAAATTATTATACTTCCTGTACAAACTAATATTTTAAAAAATACCACCACCAGTACCAAAAAACATGCAACTTACCATTCGTAGCTTTCACGCATTTATACAGCTTGTTTGTGGCTTCCTTCAACGCTTTCCTTCTATCCATCAATAGATCCATCGTAATCGACGAAATTTACCAACACTCGCGAATAAAAAACACGAAACTATCGCGAAGAAACACTTTCGAATAAAACGTACTTTCGATCGAAACACTCGCGATAAACGTATTTACTTTGAACACGAAAAATATGTAATAAACTATCACTACGCGAATAAACGTATTGAAAATCGTTTACAAATAGAACGTATATATTGAAAACACTTAAAAATAATACGCGAGTACTTTAGATGCAAAATTTATGCACAATTTTAAATTATAAACGAAATTAAAATGCGTAAATTACTACGCGTCCGAAGAGTACAAGCGTCGAAACAAAACTAGCTTAACTCATCCCCACTCGGTAACCGTAGCTCAGCGGGCAAACGTAGGTCGCGCGCTTCGAGCATATCGATAAGTAAATCATGCGTACTATAAATTTCGAAATAAATGTAATTTATTAATTTATTTATATAATATAATAATTAAATAATTAATTAATATTAAAATTTATTAAATTTATCAATCGTATTTTTTCTTTTCTATATTAATTTATATTTTTTAATATTAATTATTATATTAATTAAATAGATTTATTTAAAAAATTTATTTTATAAAAATTATCGAATATATTAATTTAAATAAATATCAACTATTAATAATTTAAATGTTTACCTGTTCGATTATCGGTTAAAAAGAAATCTTCGTTTTCCCAATCTCGAACAATAAGTTAAAAATAAAAAATATTTATATACAAATCTAAAATTTATAAAAAATAAAATTTAATAAATTAATTTATAAATCTAATATCCACTATAATCCACTATAATCTATCTTTAAAAAGTAGATACCGTAAAATTTATACTTGCACAAAATCAATCGTAATTTTAATTTTAAAAATTTATCGCGAATATTTTGCATTATCCTATCAAAATGATTAATCACGTGTAATAAAATAATTACCTTATAACCCGTTATCATAGAAAAGATATTTTCCCGCGACTAATCCCCTTCCTACGACATCAAACGCGTATCTTGATAGGGAAGTATTTTATCGAAATCGAAGACCATCCCACCCACTTGAACGGAGACAAGATCGAACGACAATAAAGATAGGCGGTAAATAGAAGCTAAGATGCAAATTGAATTCGCCGATCGAGCGGCGAGGATACTCTTATTTCGCCAAAGAATCGAGTGTGAGCGGAGGTTGAAGGAAGAGAGGGAGGTGTAGGTGGGTGGATAGGTGGTGTCCTCGTCGTCGGTGTCGTGGAAGGGTGCCTTGGGGAGCACCGCTTATATCGAGTTAGATCCGTTTGAATAGCGAGACGCTCTCGTCGGGAAAGAGGGGCCATCGTACGAGATACCGAAGGATCAAAAGTTGATACCCATCCACCTTCCATCCGGCTTCTACTCATCCTTATACGATTATCCGTAGACCCCCTGCTCGCAGTTTCTTCCGTCGACGGGTCGCGAACCAGGGGTTGGACTTCTCCCTCTCTCACCCTCCCCCCATTTTCCCTCGCCTCGATCCTCCTCCATCGCGGAGAACCAGGTTGGAAAGTGTGCGAGAGCTCGAGATGCACCTCGTGAACGACGCGCGGAATACCTAAGATCCTTGTCCTCCTATCCCGTGCTATCTCCATGCAGCCATCCGATCGGAATGACGTGTAGCACGCATAAAGTATTCCTCGGAGGCGATCCATTTCGAAACTGAGTTACGGCTGCTACGTGGTCCAGGTAGGCGTCGATACGTCCGCGAGTACGCTCGCGAAATTATGCACGGGGACAGGCATGACGTTGGCTGATTCCATTTCAATTTTTTTCTCCCGCGGTGTAAGGAAACGCGATCTCAACTCGTTCTTTCTTATATATATATTTTTTCGATAAATTATCATATCCGTATGTATTATTCGGGAAATTTAGAAATTTCGAATGAAAGGGAAATGGAAGAAATATTTCGTGCATAATATTAAATGTAATATAATCTCGAATATTGTAAAATTTGTTTTAAAAGAATTACGATTATCGAATAAATGTTAAAAGGAAAATAGAAAATTCTCATTTTTGTCCAGCAAAGCGGAATTGGAATTACACGCGAATTAATCGTAAATTTGGTAAATTGAAAATCGCGTGAGCTTACGAATTAATCAACCGAGCCGAAGGTTAAACCGTATCGACGTGAAAATGTGGAGAAGAGTCCCGGGGAGGATCTCTGTTCTATCATCAATGATGCAACTAAAGGAGATACATGACGACACAGGGCGGCCACGATGCTTGTCCTCGGGGGTCGATTTCATCGTGAACGGGACATCGTCGAACGAATAATCACTTTTCGAAAAGTCACTATCCTCCTATATAGAGTTCGCCAATCGCCCGCAATGCCGCGCGATCATTTATTCAAGATCGGTAATGAATCGAGCTCTCGTGGGAACGTCGTCATCGCCCACGTATTCCGGCATCCATAGGTGCCTTCCATTTCTTTTACCATTTTATTTCTCGAGGATGTTAGAACGTGCCAACGATTCTTTTTAAAGATTCTTTTTAAAATACCTCTTCCTCTCCCCTTCCAAAAATGCAATAATTTCTTCGTTAAATACAATTACAATTTTTTTTATCCGTGAGAAGATTGCATTTTGTCTTCGACAAAAAAGAATCTCGTCGATGAAACGTATCCTCGATGTTAGATAGAATTATTTATCGGCACGTCTTAATCGAGATTGAGAAAGAACGAACTGGGGAGGGAAGGGGGAACTGTTCTTTAAATTCAAGCCGAGCCAAGTAAGAATTCGATCGATCTTCAAGTCTATTGAGTCAGTCGAGAGGCGAAGACGCCTGATGGATCGCGTTGGGGCGTGCGACATGGCCCCTTTTCTTCCTCTTCCTACCTACCATTTATTTCATTCTTCGTGCCCTGTTGCTGGGCTATTTGTTTAAACTCCAAGTCCGAGTCAAAGTCGAACGTTATTAGAAAAGCTATACTGACAAATGGAACTGGCTTACTGACAGGTCTGTCGCCACTACTCTCTCGAAAGAAAAAAAAAAAAAGCTTTTTCTCGGGAAAAAATATATATAAATTGTGAGAATAATAATAATAACGCTGAATAACTTGTATAAAATAAATATTCCCTGCTCGATCGAGGATGATGGTGGAAGTCGAATGTGATAAAGATATAGAACGATAAAAGGACGGAGAGCATTGGTCGAAGGAGGATACACTATGTCAGGGAGAGTCTATGGGAGAAGGCAAGCGCGGAATTAGCGGGTGGCATGCAACAGTGGCAAATTGGATAAAACACGAGGTGTAATCTCCTTCTCAAAAATTCCATTAACTGTACTGCTCGAACAACGTAACGCGGACGATAATTACGAATTGACGTTTTTTAATTGGGAACGAAGTACGGCCGCTTGACTGACGCGAAAATCCTCCTACGTGGGCGGGATTATATTCCCGCTTCGTGAAAAATGGGGATTTCACCCGAACCATCATTTCCCATTCAAATTTTTTTCTCGATATCTTAGAATAATATTCGAACTCGCTCCGTAACTAACACGTCCAATCCTCTCTGTACATCCTCCTCTTCACAAAAAATTAGAGAGATCGAAAATTCCAAAATTCCTCCTACCTTATCGAATACTTCGTTCGTAGGGATCTAACAACGAAAAATTATTATCACATATATCGATTGTCGTCCACGTTAGACGGGATAGGTAGCGATGTCGATTCGACTCGATGGTACATCACTCAGAGATGTCAGAAGCCCGACAGGTTACTGTCGTTCCCACCAATTTGGCGACACTGTCGCGTTCTGCTCCTCTTTTCCCAAGTTATTGCGAAATAACGGGCGGAACGAGGCTGTAAATAATATGGAGAACCAGGCTGGAATAAGGGGAAAGGGAGAGGAGGGGAAAGAGGCCTCGAGCATTCCGAATACGATTCCTGTGAACCGAGATACGCTGAAATAAAAATATCAGACGTGGTGAGAGAGAGAGAGAGAGAGAAAGAGGGTGGTAAAACCGTGGATGGTGGAAAGTGGTTGAAGTGGAAGAAGAGGAGGGGAAAAAGGGTGATTGCAGAGGATAACTCGAGAGATGTCATATCTCAAAGTGGGTCGTCCTCCGAGGAGCCGTGAATACCTTAATAGTGATAAGATGTATCCGTACCGAGGCTGGTATACACCGGTTGTCGCCTTCCCCCTCCCCTCCCGTCTCTTAAACGTATTCGAACGTATTTCCGCAGTCATCTTCATCTTCGCGGAACGATACGGCCCTGGACAGCCGTTTTCCGGTTGGGATATGACGAGGACCTTCGCCAACCTTCGTATCCCTGGTTATGCCGGGGAAAATTGCGGGATACGCGGGGAAATACTGGAAAATTGGCGCAGCTAGCTGGTCGGTGGTGTGGCGGTCGCATGCAGCGGGAATTGCGCTCGTGCTCGCACCGGAATTGTCTGGTTTTGTCGGGCAATCTTCCTGATGCTCGACGAGAATCGTCCGGACTCGGGGTGTGAAAACAGCGGGAAAGGGGTCGGCAATCGAGAGAAGAGCCTGAAAATTCGCGTGTTAAATTTTACTGGAAATTGTTTCCTTCCGAGTTCGATAAAGATTCGATGTATTCCAACTCTGGATATATTTAGATATTTAGATATTACGTAATATTAACAACTTTGAAAAAGATTCCAAGTCGAAAGAAACAATTTTCTATCCTATAAATATAAATAAAATTCGCCGTGATATCGTCTCTAAACCCAAAACCCGTATAACAAATTGTACGAATCTACGATACCTCGACAAACGCCATCGAAAACCGCTCGTTAACATCACGGATCGAGAGAGGAACGGAGGAAGATTCCCGGTCCTATCTGTCCGGAGGAAATGAACAGGCTTCATAAATCTGGCCAACGACACGGTGCTCCCGGTAATCACGTCATTACGGGAACGGCCGAACGAATGCGCCCACGGGCCAGCATCTAGCGCTATTTAATAATGAGAGGGCTCTCTATTACTCAATGGCTATTAAAGCGGGGATGAAACGGTTGCAGAGATGAGAGAGAGGGGGGGGAAGG